CAACACTGCTTGTATCTTCTCGTTCGACAGAGTCCATGTTTCCCAATCGGGATCATGAATTCCGTGAAAGATTACATAGGCTCCTTTGGTTCTATCTTCCAATTAGTCCAAGCACGAGCGAAGGGCCACATTTTTCTTTCCTAGCGTCAATGGCACCTAGCTGCGCGGCACTGAGTTCGTCTTCCCCTCATCGAGCTTTAGCGATTTAGTTTCTTTATTTAGCTATCTATTATTCACGTCCCAATTGTCTTTTCCATTGAGCGTTAGTTCTTCTTTGGTTCTTCTCTAAGAGGACTAATTAGACTTGCTTGCTTTTCTTGAAAGAACACTTAAAGATAGAAATCCCGGACGTGACTGGCAGCTCAAGAACAGCACAGCGTTCCTATAGCCTTAATTATCCAAATATAATTATAGATTTTCTTGTTTTTGTTACATGCCGATAAACCCCAGGCGGCTTTATCAAAGCTGGAGGAAAAAAAAAAAACTATAAAGCTGTCGTTAAATTAAAAAAAAAAACAAAAAAAAAACAAAGCTTTATTAAAGATATCTTTAGTGTGTTCACCCGTGATAAAGCCCCCACTGAACTGCCCGTATGCCATATGCTTGTGAACCTTCACGATATGCCTTTCTGTATGCGCAAAAATAGAAAGATATTTTACATTTCAACCAAGCTATTTTGCTGTGTAATCGAATGCACCAACCGTTCCGGTCGGCGATAAAAAAAAAAAAAAAAAAAAGAGCATCGGCTGGTATGCGGGTTTCATAAATATTGACTTTTATTCGGTGGTAGACGAGAGCAGGAGCTTGGGAAGTTGTCTCGCCGGCGTCCAAAAAGGGTCTGGGTAGATACCGACGAGGTCAACTCCGATGAAGAAAACAACAACAACAACAAGAACGGAGTGAGCATGAATTTATTTGAGCCAAACTTATCTCCACACGCATACTTCTTGAGTTCTGAGTCCCTTGCCATGCTTGGCCGTTTTACCAACACAAAAAACGACAGCAACGAAGAAGCGCTCACATGCAAACGAATTGAGCAAATGGTGGAAAAGATTCACCGCAATGTTCGCAAACTTTCCGTAAGTGCAACGGCGTTCCGCGAAGCCATCCTATTGGCGACGAGCTAGCGCGACGAACAGCGTCGCTCTTGCCGGCACTCTGCGATTGGACAAACGCTCACTGCGACATAGTATGTTTTTGATTAATGTTGCTATCTCTGACGGAAATAAGAGTAATATCGGACAGTTAGCTTTGACGTCGGTGGTTTGAGAATGCAATAACTTCAAGCTCCAACCAAGTTATGTTGCTTTTTTTTAATCATGAAGTCCAATTAGTCGTTGGCAACTGATAATAGTTGGCCTGGCCCACAACGACACCGAGGTCTGATAAGAAGGATTGGTAGGGAAACGTAAATGCTACCTGCCTTTTTCTCTACAGCGCTGTCTCCCTCCAACCAGAACGAACAAGAACGTCGTGTGCTCCTCGCGCCGTGTATCCCGTTCGAATGCCGGCGTTTGGCGTTCAAACGATTTCGAACAGAGGGCAGATAGAAAAGTAGCTATACTCTGCTGCAGGTTAACAAAAATGGGACAAGCGATTCCCGTAAAGTTCTCCACTCCTTGTACTTTTGCAAAGCGAACGCTGCAGTCGAGAAAATGAGAGATGGCTAGTCCACTCGCCTCCTCCCCAGCTTTCACGCTGGAGGAGCTTGCCCTGATTTTCATAACTTGCAACAAAGCCTTTTTGTCTACACACTATCCTTCCATTCAGAGTTTTGTGCTTTGATTGGAAGGATAGGTGTTTGGCTCTTGTAGAAACCGCTACACTCTTGTGCGCATTGCGCAAGAGTGGAATCCTAAACAAATGCAAATTTATCTCCATCTATCGATCAAACCATCCTATACTAAATTGCGTTTCATAAATTATCAGGAACGCAGTCGAGGCTCCCGTTCAATCTCAGCCTTCCTGGCTGGCGCCGCCGCGTCTTTTCAAAGAGTCGCCTCGTCGTTCTCTCCCACCTCTTTTTTTCTTGACGATGGAATTCGTTGCCGCGTCTTTTCAGAGTCGCCTCATCGTTCTCTCCCACCTCTTTTTTTTGACGATAAAATTCGTTGCCGCTTCTTTTCAAAGAGTTGCCTCGTCGTCCCCTCCTTCCTCTTTCTCGCGACGACACGGAGCCGAAGACTGAAGGGCTGTTTATACTCCTTCGTAACGTCAACGAGCGCACGCGCTCGTTTACGCTCGCTGACGCTGTCTGCGAACGGGGTGTCTATACTCCAACGCCAAGTTCAACGCGGCGCAGCGCAAGCAGCTCGACGCGAGACAGCGTAGCTTACGACGGACTTGGACATGCTCTACGTTTAACGTAGGACGACGGCGCCGCCGACGGAGGTTATCCCAGATGCCCTCGCGCGAATGCCTCGTTCGGGAATCCGGTTGTCGCGGTCGTCGGGGCCAGTCAGAGTGTGCTGCGAGATGCTCATTTTTGGGATCTGGACCTGTCGTTCTTGCCGTGTTTCGTGTGCTGTTGTCATGTTCCCGTGTTGGTGTGCGTATTTAACGTTCGTGCGCTTGACTGGGCGATTGTGTGCGTGGACGTGGACCGCTCCGAGGATGCGCTACCCTCGATTCTCGATAGGCCTACCGACCTAACGAGTCGGTGGTGGTGGGCCGTGGTGGTGGGGTGCCAGCAAAAGCTGGAAGCTCCATGACGCGCCAGGGGTAGGGTTAATTAGAATTAAGGATGACCTAACGTGTGTGCTATTTATAATCATGTGCAAGTCGCACTCACTGGCAGTCGTTCTCAATAGAAAAAGCGTCATCGAATGTGCGGGAACAGCGGACACGCTAAAACCTCTGTAAGCGGTCTCAGCTTGTAAACGATAGTATCGGTAGGCGATGACAATTGGACTGAATCCTGTACTGTTTGTATAGGCGTTGTAAAGTGCGTTACAATTTCGAGCGCTTACATTGCGTAATTTAGGCACCGTTCGCTTTCTTCCGTGTCCCTTTCATAAGTCAGCGCAAAAGTCTACTATGATGATCACACACGGCTATCTGTCAGAAAAAGGTCTCTGTGGAATATCGAGTGCATGGACTTCAGTGAACGATTCCGGCGAAATCGCCGGAGCCACTTTGCACGATTCCGGCGAACCTGCGAAGCGGCTAGGTTCCACGGACGCAATAGCGGGCTTTTTTTCAACCTTTTTTTCGTTTTTGTTTCTTGTTGACATTTCTGTGGCACTTAGGAGAAAATAAATGCTGGTTTGCATTCGTTATCACCATCATTTGCTTATTTTTGAACTGCTAACCGCTACCCCGAATGGTTGTTTTGAAGCGTGACATGAGTACACGAGGACGAACCACACTGACCGCCCATAGATAGCCCGTAGAGACGATGCGGTTGCCACCGAGACGCGCATGCGCAAAGTCGGGCAGTTCGTCGGGGCGCGCTGGACCCGCGTTGGTCTACGCTGGACTGTAAACACCATCGTCCAGGCGCTTTTCGGCGCGGCGTACTGGCCGACGAACGTCGGTCTGCGCCGGCGCACGTTGCGTTCGTCGACGTTGGAGTATAAACAACCCTTGACGCGAGGGAGCGTCGCTTGGGGTGACTCAACGCGTGAACTGACACGTGACACGTGCGAACGCGCGCCATTGGCTGGCGATGCGAGTGTTTGGCAGGCGGAAAACTCCGCTACCCTCGACTGCTACTGTATGCCCTTCCCTTCACAGTGTCACGAAATCTGAGCTACAGTCGCGTTATAACCTAAACAAGGCAGGGTGTGGTGAGTTCTGAGCATACCATTATCCCTCCTCAGCCAATAAGATTACAGCATTAGCCGATAAGAGCGTCGAAGAACCAATCACGAGAAAGGAGCGCGAACATTACAAGCCACGCCGTGCGTTTGTTAAGCTGTCGTGTCGGTGACCATAGCTTCAAGGAGCGACGCAACAATTTTTGTACTTTGCGCAAATACCGCCTAAAACGGATCCCTGACGTTAATGACCTATGAAACACGCGTTCGTTTTTCACCCTACGCAATAAAAGTTCCAGAAAAAAATTAAGGAAAAACGAGCACCGTTCACCCCCTCAACACGCAGCCATATCCAGCGGCCACGTGATCTGGAGCTGATTATATGCCGCCAATGTTGATCATAGCCACGCGCTGCGGTTGGCAAAGCACACGGCACGCGCTGAGTTCCAGACAGTGTTACACGGGCCACTACACGATTACATGTCGAGGCATCGATTGTCACGAGCCCAGATCAAATGCGTACGCAGTCTTCACGTCCACTGTGTGAGCAGCATGTGAATATTATCACCGCAAAGCTCGATGACGCATTCCCGGGGATCGTACTGTTGCCATTGTCCGCACAGCTCCGTCATCAAATTTCGCAAAGGAGCAAAAGGCGGCATTGGAAGGAGAGACTGAAAGAAAAGCTCCGCTTTCATCCTTTGAATTCCGCCGCGACGAAGAAGATACTTCTTGGTCAGTGGTGTTGCCGTTGCGTTCGAGTATTCTTGGGTCCCACTAACACTGATTTAAATCGGTCGCACGAATTTTTGTTTCTGTGCGTGGCTCTATTATATGCATATTTTTCGTCAACGAAGAGCGCACATATCAATTTTATGTACGGTCATGGTTGTCTACTGTACTTTTTTTTTTTTGTCAGATGGTGCGTAGATGGCATTGTTTCCTTCCATCTGCGTTCCAAATATTTCCAGTTCCCAATACTTTAATTTAAAGTTAGGTGTGTGGCGTACAATACCGGCCATCCTTTGTGTGTTTTATGTGCATATTTTGCGATAAGATACAAGAGATATTGTATTTAATCAGTTAAAATTGCGAAGCTGATGAAACTACCTAATTCTAACATTTCTCTTTGTACGGGTCCTTGTTGTTGTAATAAGATAAACGCGTCGTGCGTGTGCGTATATTTTTGTTTGATCAGTATGGAGCTTTCCTAAACTCGCTTTGTCTCTCCAGGGCCCTGGATCATGAGGAAGTGAGACGTACCAGTGCGCCGCCATGCGGACAACGGCGGCAGCGGCGCCTCTCGTAGTCGCCGCTGCCTCGTCTTTCCTACTAGTCCTGCTCACCACACTACCGCAGGACGCTTCCACTGCCCTGAATCCTCTGGTCCAACAAGTGAGTGAGGAGACCCTTTTTTAGAAGTTTGGATTATTGTAAAGTCCGATGACCGGTACTCTTTGGCTGACGCAACATGGAGGCAGAGAAGTGCACGTTAGGGAAATAAAGTAACTAAATACCGTTGCTCGTTACTTACTTGAAAGATAACTAAGTACGTTACTCGTTACTGTTATAAAAAAGGTAAATAGGTACAAGTGCTATGTTACATATAAGTTTGAATGGAGGGCAGTGCTCACATTCGAGGTCACGGTGGCTGTCGTCTGGTGGTTGACAGTGTTTGCGTTTCACCCATGCCATGAAAGATAACTTCCAGACAAAAATATAAATACAATAAACAAACCATAGTCACTCTCTTTCAGAGACTATATATTCATTATTAGTCTTCCACTCTCTCAAATAAAAAACAAAACAGAATGAACGATAAAAGATGTGATCCTTGCCACGAACGAACAACAACCAGACAGGTTTCATTTATAGTTAGTAAGTTAGTTACCCACTAATACTGTTTTAATGGCATCGGTGTTAACCTTCAGTTTTATCGCATCATCAAAGTTTTAAGCCAAAAGTTCTCTGGAATTCAAGCAAATTCGATGAATTTCACAAAAGAGAACGTTGTTCTTTTTCTCAATAACAGTGTACTTAATGAGATATAGTTTCGATGCCATTTACCCATTAGTAACCTGGTTGTCGTATGGATACATGTTTCTGCCAGTAAACACTTGAAACCTCAGTCCGATGCTCACATATGCCACGCGACAACGACACGCGTGCTAGCCTGCTGGCCCGGGTGATTCGAATTGATCTGCAAACAGCCACCTGAATAAATCGGTTTTTTATGCGGGCCCTTTTCAGTTTCCGGAAATTTTACTCCATTTAACTGAAAATGGGGGAAAAAAAAAAACTGAAGCGTCTTTTTTTTCCGTTTTCAATTAATTTCCATTGTGCTTTGAGAGGAAGCTTAACACTTACGCGTGTCGAGAGGGCGCAAACATTAACGCGTGATGCAATTAAAAAGGGCGTAGTTAATTGGACGGGCGCTCGTAAACAACCCGTCTAGTGTCGGCTGTTTGCGCAGAACCGACGGAAGCTCTGGTGCTTAAACAATAATCCCCTCTATTAAAGGAAAAAAAAAACAACAACACAACAATGCAGACAAATAAAACGGAGTTTTATAACCTTCAAGCGCCTGTTTGCCGTTACGCATTCCCAAATCGCCGAGAGCTTTTTGTTACGTCACTGACGCTATGGCGGGTAATTTCGTCTGTGGGTGCGAATGCACGGTTTCTAGCATGGTAACTCTGGAGCCGAAAAAAAGAACGGACGTAGGACAGACACAAAATGTGTGTTTTGTGTCTGTCCTACGTCCTGTCTTTTCCCCGGCTCCAGGGTTACCATGTCAGTATTGAACCAGTTCGCCTGCACCCTTGCTTTAGTTACATGGTTTCTGCCATGTTATAAATTGCCGGTTTGATACATAGAGGGGCCGGCGAATCTGCTAGGCGCCGAAAAACTGAGGGAAGGAGCTGCCTTTGTTCGCTCACACTTCGAACGCTCACACTCACACTCATACTCACTCTTCGAACGCGTTTCATAGTCAAACACCGGCGTCCACCTCCGCGGCGTTCGCTTTAGAAAGCGTTCGAAAGAGTGACTAGAGAGAAAAGCAGCTAGCTATAGGTCTAACCACTAACACATATTTTTAGTATTGCGTATACGAACAAACGCAAGCTCAATGCGGTAGCGCTGCGTGCTCTACGCTGCGAACGAGCGTCGTTGTCATGCGTTGTTGCATAGCCTCCTCTATACTCACAAAGCCTGGCAGTTCAAAGACGGAGCCACAGAGTGCCCGCGGTCGCAGATTTGGAGCGCGAGGATCTGGTAGTACAAAGCACCAAAGAGCCATTTCTCGGAGAACCTGGACGTCAGCGCACAGCGTTTTCAGCGGCGAGGACCCGAAGCACACTTGTTTGCTCGGGAGAAGTGTGTTTCGGGGTCTCGCCGCAGCGGGGCGCCAATCACGTGGCTCTCCTCTCATCCGTTGCCTGCCGCTCCACCTTTTCCATTTCGGTGACCGCTTCTCGTGTCGATCTGCCAGGCTTTGTCAGTATATAGGAGGATATGGTTGTTGGCCACTGCGCGTCTCTAACGCAAACGCACTGCGCTCGCGTTCCTTCGTGCACGCAATCATGAAACCCACTAATCATTCCAGTCAAAGCTCGGCGCTCTGGTCTCTACTTCTTCCTCCACTTACTCGGCGCATGTTAAGATTTACTGTCAACCCTGGAAACTTTTCATCCCTCTTCACAGTAATTGCAAGGTATACCGCGCTCGCAAGTACTTTAACCTGCTATCGCCGTATGTTCAAACTTGGGAAAATACGAAATGGCGATAGAAAAATTATAAACCTGCTTTGTACATGAAAAAAAAAAAAAAAAAAAAACGCAAATATTTTTTTTTTTATCACACGCTTCGAAAACGGCGAAAAAAAAAAGAAAAAAAAGCAGAACAATATTTTTGAAAAAATCTTTTCTTTCAAGTCGCCCGTACCAATACCGCAACAAATACGGGTTCTGATTGGGAACATCGGCCATAGTCTCTCTAGGTGACGGTAAGCGCAGCAGAACATCTTTCTTGACCTCTAGAAAATTGCAGCACATCTTTTTCGGTGTCAGAACACTGATAAAAAAAAAATAAAAAAAAAGTATAGGTGATACTTTTTTTCTTCTTCTATGCGCTGAAATGGAATAAATGCGTGGCTCACCGAAATTATGCTAAAAATAAGCGTACGTGGGAGGGAAGGGTACTCGTATAATTTTCCCATCGGCTTGCGAGCGAACATCAATTACACGGTCGCCGAGAGTTGAAGGGCGGGGAGTGGCTTATGTTTACATTGCTTCGTGATTGGTCGTTGGTTGTTCTTGTCGGCTAACGCCGTAGTCTGGTTGGCTATAGAGCGATGACTAGATGCGCGCTACTCGCCACGTCTCGCGTATCTGCCAGTGACGGTAGCGACTATAATTCGATGATCTCACACCGCGGTAGTCTAGCACAAAAATAAGTGATCGGAACATGAATCCCGATTTGTTCGCCTCCCGCGTAAGAAAACCCATTTTCTGCTGTCCTCTTTCCTCACTCAAAATGTTCTTATTCGCAAGTTTATAATTGTACATAACGCGCTGGCCGATAGATGGCACTACTCTCCGCGGTGACCTCCGAGAAAAGAAACGGCCACGGGCCACAAGGTCCCCAGTCACCATCTGGACAGTTAGCAGTTACATTGTGACGAAATGGCCACTTGTGTTCTAAAGCATTAGGCCGACAGCCGAAGAAGGCTTTCGGTAAACTGACACAGCCAGGGAATACACCGCGTGCAACGGGAAATGGCCAATTGTTGCCAAACCGTCGGTCATTGACTTCTTCAGAATATGTCCACGTGCCACACCCAATGTTGTAGGCGTTACCAATAAAAAAAGTACCCAAATACGTTAATGGTTACTTGCAAATAAAAAGAAAGCGCTACACCTCCTTCGTTACCTAAAAAATAAAATAGTTACGTTAACGTTACCGATATAAAGTGACGCACGTTACTTTTGCGTTACTTTTATGGTTATGAATTAACACGTTTTACTGTTAGGACGTTACAGGTATGCATAAGCGCCATAATTCAAGGAACATTATATTCATACAGAAACGGCGCGTAATTACCTTATCTTTTTTTTTTACTCACCTAAACACTCACGAAAAAAACGCAAAGAAAACAATTTACATAGCTTGGCGCCTAAAAACACACAAAAAACAGGAGCCTATTTTTTTTTAATCTTGGGAAGGATATGTAACGATTAACGTAACTACGTTACCCATTACTGTTTTAAAAATGCAGCGAGTACGTTATGGCACACCCCAAAAAAGGAAGGCGTTACCAGAACCGTCGTTTACTTATAACACGTTGCCGCCAAGACTGGCCACACCCGATATAGAGAGGAACCAAAAAAAAAAAGAAGAAAAATCGGTGGTTGATTGTGTTTTAACGAGAAGTGAAAGCTGCAAAGTGGTTGTTGCCCGGCACTGACAAACTGACAGACACCGCCGGGTTTTTGTCGAAACGAGCCCTTTCGAGTTTGTCGAAATCACACGCACAGCTGGCGTGGAGCCAGAGAGGACGAAGCGCCGCGCAACGCCTCATAGCTAAGAAAGTCGTAGTGCTGAATGAGGTGGCTTCATCAGAGAAGGCAAACGCTGAACACTCATTGGAAAAGAGTGCTGGGTCAACGCTCGGCTTTGAGTCAAGTTTGAGCTGAACGTTGGCGCAATCGTCGTGTCGAATCTGTGCCCAGCGTTGGCCTTCTCTGATGACGCCATCTCATTCAGCACTACGACTTTGTTTTCTAGATTGTGTTGCGCCACGGAGCGGTGGAATGCGGGCGTGCTCAATTGCCGCCGTGCCGTAGCCGGTTGTTCTTCGCTCTGGGTCTCCGTAGTAGAGGTGCGTGGTCTGTGATATGTGTGTAGCTAAAACGATGGATGCGCTTCCCTCAACGCGTGAATTGGAATGCGGTTCCTTCCACATCTGTTATGGATGTGGTTCTTTCCACGAGCGATATGAATGACAGTACCCAAACGCGCCGACGTACCTTGAGAGGCAGAGTACAGAAAAGGGGTGAAAATATTACAGGAAGATCCATTGGTGGATTCTTAGGAAATACGTTAGCATGACCCTTGGGACACGCCAAACACGTCCCCCTTTGGAAAACACTAACACTGACACCGCAACGATACCAAAAACAGGCAGCAACAAGTGGAGGAAGCAAAAGGGAAAGCCAAGAGAGAAAACCTGAAGAGAAAAGTGAAGGGGTCAGCGTTACCATTTCCCAGAGGGGGACGTGTGTGGATTTTTAAAGAATCATGCTAACGCATTTCCTAAAGATCCACCAATAGGTATTCCTGTATTTTTGTAAAGAAAATATAAAAAAAACAAGTATATGAAAGAAAAGGGTACA